ACCACTGCACATCAAATAAGTCTGGGTTTACACTGAATACAACTTTGAAATCGTGCAACTTCACTTGAAGTCACACAATTTGAAGGTCAGGTGTCAACGCAACTTCAGGTGCAACTTGTAAGACATCTGTGCAACTTCATGCACAGATGTCTATACAAGCCTTACCCGAAATCGCCAAAAGTAGTGCAGGAACTGCAAATCGATGCAACTCCAAGTCACACCGATTAAAATGGTTTCATGGAGTGCGACTCGTCATGTGATTTGAACTGTCAAATCAAATGACAAGTCACATTGGTATGAACAGGGCCTAAATGACAGATTGGAGATTACAAAGACGAAAGAAAACATCTACAAAAACATGACACAGGAAAAGAGAACCTATCTCCCATGACCTTACATTCTAAATCTAGCAATGCACGGCTAAACAATGTGGATGGAGGAATCTACCCTGCCAGCTATTGTCTCAATGTATAAGCAAACAGTGACTTAGGCTGATTGGATGCAGTCAGTGCTTGGCCAACAATTTTCCACCGGGCTCCTTTGATTTTGAAATCAACTTTTGTTGAGCTGGGTGGTGCCAACAGAGTCCTTCAAGGCTCAAATATGGGCTGATTTGTGCTGAATCAGACAAAATTCGAGTTGTGGGTGGCCTTGTTGGGCTTTGTGTGATTCAGCATGAATTGGCCCATATTTGAGCCATGTACAGTTAACTTCAAAGTTTTGGAAACACTAGACCCTTGATAAGAAAGAGCTAACCTTGCTGGTGGTGGTGACACTTGGTTACTTGGCAATAAACATTTTATTGGTCTATATATGTTAAGAGTGACAGCATTAAATTGTATAATCAAATAAAGATTGTTGGCTATATTGAATTCTTAGGGTTTCTCTAGAAACCTGTTTTTCATTCTGTAAAGGCAGCTACATAAACTAAATGTAGATATACATCAATACTTCCTCAAATTCCCAAGTTCTTCTTGGTCTATGGATAAACATTTCGGTTTATATAAAAAGGATCCTTAGCAATGTTTTCTATTTTGGGGCTTATGTAGCATGTACAGTACATAAGGCTCAGTTTACATACTACAGTCTAGAGGTATATTCCCCAGAAGTCAGAATGGCTTCAAGCAGTTATGTTTTGTGAAATAAGTGAACGATAAATTCTGACAGTAGAGTTAGAGACCAAGGGACACCATGCGTCATCTATCAGTGTCTACAAGAAAAACTGTCAACGCTCCCTTAACGAATACATTTTGTATTTTATTCTCTATTTCACATTTTAACAATGACTAAGATCTGCTCCATAGCTGTGGGCAATTTTTCAGTGTCCCAATTTTTTTAAATCTCATCAACTGGCAAGTCTGGTTTTTAACCCTAACCCATCATCTATCCTTCTAGAGAACCATTTTGTTTATTTACCTTGCTGCTGTAAGGAGAAAATATTCTTTAAAATTTGAGCGTCACAAGGAGGAAGCATCCACAGGGTTATGCCACACAGATGCATTTTAGAGAACTAGTGGAGGAGGACTTTGAGGAGACTTTTCACTTAGCACACCTAAGTTGGGGTGATCATTACACTCAGCAGAAAATGTGCCATCCATGGAAGCCCTGTTCACACTGATGCGATTTTGATGTGTTCCAGAATACATGGAATCGCATGACAAGTGAAATAACACTTTCTATGGACACTGTTCATATATATGCAGTGCGATTCTGATTTGATTTTAAAAAGGGTACTGTGTGAGTTTAGTGCAGTGTGGTGTGGTTTGTAGCTACATAGACATGAATTTAAATTGTTTATCTGTCCTGAGATAACATGATTCCACTATGTTTTCTGCAAGTCTTTGCTTTGTTCATTAACTCCCATCCCTGGTCCATAGGAAAGAGACAGAGAGACTGTGGAATATCGCACTGTGTCTATGTGAACCTAGCCTTAAAGTGGTTTCACATCTGTGCAGGTGGTACCACTGCGGGACCCACACAAATACCAGCAGCCACAACCACCCACACAAAGAAATGTGGGTCCCATGAATCCTAATGGCATGCCGACTGCACTGGAAATTGCACCCATACTGGGAACCTCAGTTCCTGTGTGAGCTGCAATTTCAAATATAGTGCAGGGACTTCTTTCCTGCGTGTCAGGCTCACCCCCCACTCCCTCCTCACTGGCTGCTGTGTCTCAGCCAATGAAGAGAGAGAGACCTGGGAGAGCCGTTGGCTCGAGATCGGGCTCAGGTAAAGGGGTGGCTGCAGGGGGAGCTGCGCACTGAAGGTTTTTTTTTTTACCTTCATGCATAGAATACATGAAGGTAAAAAACCTTCAGCCTGTACAGCCACTTTTAAATATAAAGCTGGAAAGCTGCTTCACATTTTTTTTTCCTACCAGGACAGATTTAAACAAGGCCCTTTTGAAGCACACCTTTTTTATGATCAGTTAAGAACAGTTGTCTCTGATGGGTATTGCATGTCAACAACTTTAACAAAGTTACAAGGAACATGAGCAAATTAGTCATTTTTTGATCTAGTACCACTCATTTGATACAGTGCAGGCCTTATGTCAGACATCACAGAAGCAGTCGCCTCCACGTTGTGAGTGGAGTTAACATCCTCCATTCAGTGCCCTGACAAATGTCATACACCAAGCATCATCTCTGAAGGAGGATATTGCATTGGTGGCTGCCAGAGATGATAGTTACCATATTGGAGAATTACGTGTCTTGAACTGATGTCCATTGGAATGAGGGAGTGATATTAAATACAGCTGAGAGCCATTACAGTGCAGGGGGTAGATGCTTGAGTGTGATCAGATACAAATAGTACTTTGCAAGGGTTGCAGTAATGGTACACAATGGACCAAGATTTTGACTGATCTAATATAGTTAGGAGGTGGTAATCCTATACACCACGGGTGTCAAACTGGCGGCCCTCCAGCTGTTGCCAAACTACAATTCCCATTAGGCATTGCAAGATTGACAGTTACAAGCATGACTCCCAAAAGCAGAAGCATAATGGGACTTCTAGTTTCGCAACAGCTGGAGGGCTGCCAGTTTGACACCCCTGCTATACACAGTAGATGTGATTTTGAAGAACACGGGGGAAGGAGTGGCTTGATAGATCTATCTATATCTATCCCTGTTTAAGGACGTGTTTAAAGTTTTTTTTAGGCTACAGCTAGGCATTGTGGAGATAAGAGTGCAGTGTTATTGTCCATATACAGTACAACAGTAAATGGGAATCCTGATCCCTGGTCTTCACTATATCTTTGTGGATCTCCTTTTACCAAATACGAAGGTCACAGTTTTTGTGTTCAACAGACGTGATCATATGCTTCCTGGGAGGCAGCATTTTTAAAAAGTTATCTTTATTGATGACATACAGCCTACAAGTGAAGAAATCTATACCGAACCTATGAGGTTGATGTACTAAAACTGGAGAGTGCAAAATCTGGTACAGCTGTGCATGGTAGCCAATCAGCTTCTAACTTCAGATTGTTCAATTAAGTTTTGACAATAAAACCTGGAAGCTGATTGGTTATTATGTAGAGCTGAACCACATTTTGCATTCTCCAGTTCAGTAAATCAATCCACCCCTATGCTTCTTGTTAAACTATTTTAGATTCCTTACATTGTCATCACCTTTTTTAATCTTGGGATCTCCCTGTACTAATGGGACTGTTGAAATTTATAACAATAGCTGGGAGATTCTGGTTCTACTTTCTAAATAAAATACCGTTCATAATCAGCCACTTTCAGGAATAGCAATCTGCAGGAAAATCATTTCCTTTTACCAGTAATGCCACAAGTCCCTAATGACTTCATCAGCTGTCAGCAGTAGTTCCAATGCTCTGTAATTGTATCAGTCAGTAATATATCACACTAGATACACTATAGGTCTACTGTGCCCTATGTTTTCCAAAGTGTAGAGAATATTAACTGTCCTGTGTCCGAGAGAGCCCTATATGCAGTACTTATCTGTGGGAAACACTATAGTTAAAGTCCAGCTGATAGATACCTAAAGTATAGTTAAACCCACAGCATTTCCTTTTAGTAGGTATAGAGTAGGGAAGGGTTATAGCCCCTATTGGGTTGAACAGCAGATTGTGTCCCTGCTGGGGTTACTAGCCTCCTCTTTTTCTTCAGGTGACCATTGTCACCAATACAGAAAGTGATGGGAGTCTAACAATGTACAGTTGTCACCAGAACTAGAAGAGAAAGGAAAGCTTCAAATAAGCCAAATGTTACAAATTCCATGAGCGCACTGATTGTAGCAAAGCAGGACTAGACATTTATTCACCCCAACATAATACCGTTGATTTACTTAAGGCATATTGTCATCTTACATGGGAATTTTCCCCAGAGTTTAGAGAATGTGGTGAAATTTCACTTTGCAAAGAATACCCAGTCATGTGCAAGAAAGAGTGTTTTTGCTTGCCCATGGTTGGGTAATGGAAATCAGCAGAGCTTCACCTCATTCACCGAGCTCTGGGGAAATTCCCCTTGCAAAATGAACAAACGATTAGCCTTTAGTAAATCAACCCCCATGTGTGGCAGATAAATGTCTAATCCTGCCTTGCTCCAATCAAAGTGCTTGTGGAATTTTTAATGTTTTGGCTATGTTTATGTTGGCGTCATCTGTCAATTCACTTCAGCACCTGGTGTACGGCTGAGAGGATTGCGCTGGATTATATTGATTCTTAAAGGCATTGTACACTTTCAGATGTGTTTTGTTTTAACTTGGTATTACTGTAGTTATATTGCCTGTGCTGTTCATTTGCCTTACCCTGTAATGATGGACTCACATATTGGGGTTTATAGACTAAAGCTGGAGAGTACAAAATCTGGTGCAGCTCTGCATAGAAACCAATCCGCTTCCAGTTTTTTTTTTTCAAAGCTTTAACTGCTTCCTGGCCATCCTAAAGCAGAAATACTGCTACAGGGCAGCGTGGGTGCGCAAAACCACGTGTATATATACGTGATTTTCCATTTCTGGGTAGGGGGGCGCGCGCCCTACCCGTGCCGCAATTTATGGTCATGGCTGTCAATCACCGGGTCCCAGACGGTAATTACTCGCCGACGCCCGGTGATTTCCGTAGATCTCCGATGGGGAGGAGGACTGTTTTGTTTACTAACAGTTCTCCTCCCTCTCAGTTGTGCACAGCCATCCAGAGCAGTATGATTACAGTGAAGCACATAGAACCCTAGTAAAACACTCCCTGCACACAGTTAACCCTTTGATAGCCCCTCATGTTAACCCCTTCCTGCCCAGTGCCATTAGTACAGTGTCAGTGCTTTTTTTTTTTTTTTTTAGCACTGATCACTGTATTGGTGTCACTGGGGATGTCAGCGACACCAAGTCAGTTCCCTCCAGTGTCAGAATTTCTGCCGCAGTCCCACTATAAGTTGCTGATCCCTGCCATCCCAGTATATATACCGCCATTTGTAAACACTATAACCTTCACGCAAACCAATTAATTTACACGTATTGGGTTTTTTTTTTAGCAAAGACATGTAGCAGAATACATTTTGGTGTAAATTCTTGATGAAATTTGATTGTTAATTTTTTTTTTTTTTTATGAGTCAAAATACTGTTTTTTTTAATCAAAATTGTTGGGTTACTTTTATAGCGAAAAAAGTGAAAAATGCACAGGCGATCAAATACCACAAAAGAAAGCTCAATTCATGGGAAAAAAGGGTGTAACATTCATTTGGGTGCAGTGTTGCATGACCTTCGCAATTGTCAGTTAAAATAACACAACGCCGTAATGCAAAAAATGGCCTGGTCAGAAAAGGGGGTAAATTCTCAAGAGGGCAAGTGGTTAATGACCATGCTGAAGTTAGCAGTTGACTAGCTACCATGCACAGCTGCACCAGATTTTGCACTCTCCAGCTTTAGTAAATCAACCCCATTGTGTCTGCAGTTTGTAGTGTCATGGCTGGTTGATTCCCCTGTGTCCAGGTATTCATTCACCTAGCTTCCTGTTCAGGGTCACATGGTGGCTAATGCACGAACTCTATGTTGCATCACAAATGTAGGAGTGCCAATGGCATAAAAATGATCTTCCCACTGAATCAGTTAGCGCTCTGTGAGTCTGTGAATACTGTGCCTGTTTGTGTCTGTCAGATCTACTTACCATGAAGCTCTCACCTGGACCTGGATATACAGAGAGACCCAGAGATTGTGGAATATGTGTATCAGAGGTCAGCAACCACTAGATCATGATCTTCCAGTAGATCTCAGCCAGGCGACTGCTAGATCACGGTCTGGGCTTGCTGACCCAATATCCCAGAGCATCAAACAGACTGCAAGCAGAGGGACTACTTGTAAGGTTGAAAATATAGTAAGGAGCAAGAGCCGCATAAGCCGATGTCTCCCCTGTAGTGCTAGCTCAGGGGTGGGCAAACTTTTTGACTTGAGGGCCGCAGTGGGTTCATATATTGGACCCGGGGGCCGGACCAAGAGTAGATGAATGATGTGTATGTGTGAATTAATATAAATTAAATTAAAATTTGTAACATTAAATGTTTAGATTAATTTAAACACTACCATGCCATCCATAGTAAGTATAGTAATATTCCCCCATAGTAAGCATAGTAATTAATCCCCCATATAGTAATTCATCCCCGCTATAGTAATTCATCCCCCCTATAGTAATTCATCCCCCCTATAGTAATTCATCCCCCATATTAATTCATCCCTCATATAGTATTTCATCCCCCATAGTAATTCATCCCCCATAGTAATTCATCCCCCATATAGTAATTCATCCCCCCTATAGTAATTCATTCCCCATATTAATTCATCCCTCATATAGTAATCCATCCCCCATAGTAATTCATCCCCCATATAGTAATTCATCCCCCCTATAGTAATTCATTCCCCATATTAATTCATCCCCCATAGTAATTCATCCCCATATTAATTCATCCCCCATAGTAATTCATCCCCCATATAGTATTTCATCCCCCATATAGTAATTCATCCCCCATATAGTAATTCATCATCCCCCATATAGTAATGCATCCCCCATATTAATTCATCCCTCATATAGTATTTCATCCCCCATAGTACTATTCCCCCCCAAGTAGTAAGCCAAGTCCCCCCTGAGTCAATTCACTTACCTTTGCTCCGCGCGTTCCTCTCGCCGAGTTCCCGCGCCGTTCCGGTCTTCAGGGCGGACTGTGAGAGGAGCCTAGCTCCCCTCACGTTCGTCACGCTGCCCCGCCTACACACATGCGTATACGGCCCGCGGGCCGTAGTTTGCCCATTGCTGTGCTAGCTCCTATGCCTTGTAATGGTTGGTGGGTGTAGCACCTGCTATGGCATTTGTACATTTTTGACTGCTGCCTCAGCAGCTAAAGGGGATAGGGAATAGGGACAGTAAAACTGTGACTCAACCACAGGGGTTTACCACCACCCAACTTTACATGTGAACGAGCCCTAAGAGTGCCACTGTCGGATGCAACTAAGGGCTTATTCACATGTGCACTTCTGATCTTCTGCAAAATGATCCAAGTGTATTTGACAGGTGGTGAGAAGGGGATATGTTGCCCCCTCACCACCTGATTTAAACCCATGATTGCTGTGCAATGCACGAGATTGCAACACGGTAGTACGTCAATTAGAAGTTTAAATCAGGTGTGAGGAGGTGACACTGGGTGACTTTTGTGCCTGGTGATCTTTGACTTCTCCCAGGTTGTTCAAGTAGATTTACACCTCTTTAAAGTTGCCTACCTCTGATGTAGATACTTTACAGGAAGTGTTAGTTCTTAGACTATTTATTATTTATTTATTACAAGTACTTATATACTGCTGTCAATTTACGCAGCACTTTACATATATATTATACATTCTCATCAGTTCCTAACCCTCACGGGGTGTACAATCTAAGTTCCCTAACTCACATTCATACATACACATACTAGGGCCAATTTAGACAGGAGCCAATTAACCTACCAGCATGTATTTGGAGTGTGGGAGGAAGCCGGAATACCTTGAGGAAACCTACACAGGCACAGGGAGAACATGCAAACTCCAGGCAGGTGGTGCCAGGGTTGGGATTCAAACCGACAACCCTGGTGCTGCCTGGTGGAAATGCTAACCACTTAGCCACTGTGCTGCAAATACAGCCAGAGGTTATGCATTAACCTGTGCAGTACCGTGCTGCATGCCTCATGTTTGAACAGAAACTTCTGACACCGGAATGTGAGATTTCCTCTACTAAAGCAAGCAAAATCCTATCTTGTATTAAAAGAGGTATAGACTCCAAAGAGAGATATCATTTTACCCCTGTACAAAATGCAGTTTAGTTTTGGGCACCAATTCACAAAAAGAACATTGGGGAACTGGAGAAAGTACAGAAAAGGGCAACTAAACTGATAAGAGGCATGGAGGAGATCAGCTATGAGGAAAGATTAGAGGAACTGAATTTATTCTCTCTTGAGAAGAGGAGATTAAGGGGGGATATGATCAACATGTATAAATACATCAGTGGTTCATATAGTGAACTCGGTGTAGAGCTATTCACCCTGAGGTCATCACAGAGGACAAGGGGGCACTCTTTATGTCTGGAGGAAAAGAAATGTAATCTCCAAACATGGAAAGGTTTCCTCACAGTGAGAGCTGTGAAATTGTGGAATGGACTCCCTCAAGAGTTGGTTCTGGCCAGCTCCGTGGATTGCTCTAAAAAAGGCCTGGATTCTTTCTTAGATACACACAATATAACTGGATACCAGGGGTGGACTGACCATTTGGAAACTCGGGCATTGCCCGAGGGCCCAGGGTCAGTAGGGGGCCCCATGAGATGCCCCTGGTACCTTTTTCATAGGCTTTTTTGAGTTTGGGCAAGGACACGGGCTCCATGATCCCCTATTGCCCGGGGGCCCCATGAGTTGTCAGTCTGCCCCTGCTGGATACTAACATTTATAGGTAAAGTTGATCCAGGGAATATCTGATTGCCTCTCGGGATCAGGAAAGCTTTTTTTTTTTTTCCTTGCAGGAGCAGGGTATAGGATTATAACTTTTTTTTTTTTTTTTTTAAATGGTTGAACTGGATGGACTTTTTTTTCAGCCAGACTAACTATGTAACTATAGGTTGTGCGTACGGGCCAGCAAATGAAACCATGAAACTACATGGTGAATGCACATATTATGCAGGTGAAAACACAAGATGCAGGTAAAAAGGTTTCCAATACTTCCAATAGGGACACCTATTTCAGTGGCAGCTGTCTATGGGGGGGGATTTCCTCCAACTATGGAAACATTTATTCTTCCCTCCTGCTGTGTCTCCAGGACAGGAAGTGAAGGGAAAGAGGATAAAAATACCTGAAGGAGTTTACAACTATTCCCTTCTCTATCCTAAACAGAAAAATGTTCTGACAGCTTTAATAGCTTTTCCAAACATTTCTTCTTTTCTGTTTAACTTTTGATACAATTATTGACTGCAAGGTTTGGCGGGAGTTAATCACCTTCAGCCAGTTTGGTTACACGGATAGTAATGACATTTTCAAAGAACGTTAGGCTACCTTTTATGGCTCCAGCATAAAAGATATTTGTTCAGCACTGTGCCCTTTTAAAGCAAGACTAGTTGGAGGAGAACATTTTCTCTCTTCATCCTGGCTCTTACATGTCACTGCAAGACACGGAGACAATGTTTGCTATCAGTTCATTTAATTTCTGCTGTGCAGTTAAAAGTATAGGATAGATTTCTGTAATGAATTAGAGTTGATTCACACATGTGCGGTGCGGATTGAAGTTCAGGTTTCACAGCTAATTGATACAGTAGTTGTTTACAGGTTCATGTCAGGTTTACGTCAGGTTCAGGACAGGATTAGCTCAGGATCTTATCCTGTTCACACATATACGGTTTAGAAACGGTTCCCATAGAAGCCAATAGCCTGTAATCCATACCTGAACCTGAAGGCACTGCTCAGAAATCGTTCAGGACTCTTTTCAAACTGCATTGAATCAGCACCGCCAGTGCACTGGACATATGTGTACAGGCACCATAGGAAGCAATGTTTTTTTTACATGTCATGCGGATTGGATGCAGTTCAAACCACATCCTATCCACATATATGTGAACTGGCACTTAAGGTCACAACATGCTGTTATGAGTTACAAAATATTCACATTAAAAATGAAGCTTTGCTACTAAAAATCTGGGAACACTAGTTACCTAGGCCTGGGAATG